TCCCGACTTACTGCGTCGAATGGTCCTTCGCAGCATATTTTTTGCGACTATAAATACATTTTTGAATATTTAGTTTAGAATAAGTTTTCATAATAGAGAAGTTTTTCTTTAAATTTTGAGAGCTTTGAGTAGTGAGACAATATTTTTCCTTTGCTTTGAAGAATTGATGTTTTCCACCTTTGAGAAATTGGAAGTGGGTCTTTGAGATTCTTTAATTTGGACCTTTGTAAAGACGAAATTAATTTTACCCAGTTGATGGAAACACAATTTGGTAACGATTTCTACCTTTTTTATGATGTCTAGCTAAAACACCAATTCTTGGGGTGTAATTATGTGATTATGGGTTGATTTAGCTGATGGGTATTGCTAGTTGTTAGTTTAAATGTTGTTTAAATCAAATTTTGAAGCGCATTGGGAAAGTTACCTATGAGTTGGCTCTGATTCATCTGGTATCCCATGTTTCTATGCTTAAAAAGTGTATTGGAGATCTGACATCCATTATTCCCTTAGAAGGGTTGGGATTTGATGAAAGTCTTTCCTATGAAGAGGTTCCGGTAGAGATCCTAGACCGGCAAGTCAAGAGATTGAGCAACAAGGAAATAGGATTTGATGAAAGCCTTTCCTATGAAGAGGTTCCAGTAGAGATCCTAGACCGGCAAGTCAAGAGATTGAGCAACAAAGAAATAGCTTCCGTAAAGGTTTTATAGAGAAATCATTTAGTTGAGTACTTGGGAGGCCTAGGCCGATATGAAGTCCCGATATATTCATCTCTTTCCTTCTACTCCTATTCAAGCTTGAGGTAAATAGTTCCTCTTGAATTATAGTGTTTTGGGAGTCATGTGTGTTATATGAGTTTTTCCATGATTTCCTTATGTCATGCTTGTTCTTGATGAGATTCTTTTTTAGTAAGAAAATGAGTTTTTATGATTTATGCGCCTCATGTTGTTGTGCATTTAGTATGAGTTGCCTATTTGACTTTATGAGATGAGTTGATGAACATGTTTTAGTATGCTTTTGAGAGTAATTGCATATTGGCTCAATGATATTTTGTTGAGCATGATTTTAGTTAGAGAAGGTAGTTCCTTCTATGAATATGAGAAATGTTGAGTTTCATGCATATTGGGTTGTTAGATGTAGTTCCTACTTCCTTATATTGCATTGTTTATGTTTTGAAGTGGAGTTAAAGTTTCCTCCTTTGGATTGTGCATTATTTTGATGTTTCTTGCATGATAAGCTGCTAGTTTTGAGTCTTTAATTAAATTTCGTAAGGTGTCTAGATCATCATTCATGGACGAATGTTCCCAAGGGGGAGATAATGTAACATTTCGGAAACTAGTAGACTACATTAGAACCTAAAGTAGGGTTTAGAGTCGTAAATAACTCCCAGTACCCAAAATATATGTTTTTGGGTTTAAACGTCAAGGTACGACCCCCCAAGGACCAACCATGGGTCCTTGAAGAGGACCTTTCAAAGGTGATTAAAAATTGGGCCTGGGCAGTCCACCCACGAGGGGGACCAACGACCGGTAGGTGGACCCACGCCCCATGGGTGGGGGTCGTGGGTCAAGGCCCCAGAAAGCAGGCTGCAGGACCCAACCCACGGATCTGCATAACGCCACGTGAGTCCACTCACAGACTATGGGTCTAGGGTCGTGGGTGGTCACTGAAACTGCCTTTTGGAAGTTCGCTTTAGGGGTCTTTTGGGGTTTTCCTTTTTATTAAAATATTAAGTAACGTCGTTTTGTATTAAATTAAACTAGCTAGATAAGTCTTTTAGACCCCCAAACTAACTCATCAAAATCATAATTCCTAAATCCCCAAATCGAAACCAATTTCCCCCAAAAATCATCGCTCTAGAACTCCAAAGAAGAAGAAAAAGAAGAAGAAGAAGAAGATCAAGGTAGGGTTTGAATAAGGAGGCTTTTTCACTCAAATTCGTTGGATTTCTTCACTAAGGTATCATACCTTTTCATCCATAGATATTTTTCATCCATGGAATCCCTCCAAAACCCCCAATTTCAAACCTTGAAATCCCAAAAGTTAGGATTTGACTTCAAACCCATGGATTCCTTTCAAATTCTTTTTTAATGATTGAATTATGTTTTATTATGGATATAATGGTGATTTTATATGGTTTTATCTTGAATTCCCCAAGAATCCATGGATATCCCTATTTTCCCAACTTGGATCACAAAGTGTGGTCATTGATTGATGCAAGTAGAATATGATAGAATTATGCATCTAGTAATTGAATCACTTTTATTATGTTATCATCCATGTCTAATGTAGTAATTCTAGATGTGTTGATGAGTTGTGATCCATGGTCCTTGAAGGGCAAAGTATGAGAATTATGTATGAATATGAGTTTAAGGTATATGTTTTATGAACTCTTTAAGAGTAAAGTGAATATGATTATAATCTAGTTGTTGCGTTTTTGAAAGTTATCCTCATGTACACTCTAATGTATGAATATGGTATGATGTGAAAGGTCTGTCACATGTAGTGATTCTATGGTTGGAAGATTAGTCTCACCTATTGAATCTATGAGCTTTAGTATGAGTTATGTTGGATTGAGTGTCAAGACGTTCTTCCATAATTATGAACTTAAGTAAAGACTTAATATGAACTCAATGGGAATTAACGCTTAGCACCGAGTGGATATTGCCAATGAGATGGAAGCTCCTCCGCTAGTAGAGGGCGGGTTTCTAGAAGAGGTCTTATGAGATGGAAGCTCCTCCGCTAGTTGAGGGAGGGTTTCTAGTAGCAATCTCTTTATCCCATAACTATGTGCCCACATAAGTCTTTAGCTAGTGGATCCACCTAAGCTAAGAGTATGGTTCTACCTTAGGAAAGTAAGACAACCCCTTTTCGGTGTGGGGTAGACACCAGATTCCATGATAAGCTCACATGGTCTATGTCGGTTAAGGCTAATCTCCCTTTACGATAGTATGACAATAATATGAGATATGAACTATAGTTACTCAATAAGCTTTACTTAGTATGGGTGAGATTATGGGATCTTATTCATCATTGCACAAGTATTCTTTGAGGGTATTTATAGTATGGTCCTATTATGATATGATGATATATGAGTTGATTATGCTTATCACTTATGCTTTTCCATTATCTTCAAAGTGATGTTTTAAACTAGTAAATAGCATGCATTTGACTAAAGTGTCCCTTTTAGCATGTCTTCAAGGATTTTATGCATGGCTATCATACTTAGTGCAGTTTTGTACTAGCTCTTATTTCTTCTACATTTTTACAAAGTGTAGGGTTCAGTTCTTAAGGCGATGATCCTTTGGTTCAATCTAAGATTTGACTATTCTTCTTTCTTGTGGTGAGTCCTCATGATTCGAGGATGGGAGATTCACTTTGAGTTTCATCCTTGTATTTTCATTTTGCATTATGTTGTTTTGGGTTGTGACCCTATTTGACTCAAGTATTGTAATAGATGGCTAATTGAGACAAGTCTAGACTTCCGCTTTGCTTTTATGTAAACTTCTTAAGACTTAAATGCATTTTTACACTCATTGTTCTAATGCTTTATCTTATGATATGGTAAGTGGCCTACATGGTGCCTTTCGGGGTATTATGTTCCTTGTTACGTCTAGGGGGTACCCTTTTGTCGTGACATGGCCTTGTCACTAGTAGACACCACTTGACGGGGTTGTCTCCTAGTGGTCCATGGTACAGTTGGGGAACCTATGGTGGTGGGTGGAACATACTCATGATCGTTATCTCCATCAATTAGCCGAAGGGAGAGGGCGACTGATTTGGACTTGCCCCCTCGTGCATAAGTAGGAGCTTGTTTTGGTGCCAAGGTACATGTAGAAACTTAGTTAGTACCCAAAGAACAGAAAAGGACCCATGAAATATTTTTAGAACAATATTCGAACCCAGACATAAACTAAAAAATTTCTCAGGCAGTAGGTGAACTGGCAACCCACAATGGGTACATATGGTCTATCGATGGAACGACGGCCCGTGGGTCCCCTCCGTAGGTCAGAGTACCCAAAGTTGGGTCTCTGATATGGGAACCACGGATGTGCAGAATAGTATGTCGATCAAACGACATATCGTAGGCCATACCGTGGTTCTACACTTAAGCAATTTTGTGTGTGCCACTGGTCCACGGACCTCGACCTACGGTCTGTGGGTTGAAGTCGTGGGTCAGTTCTGTGCCAGGTTATTCTCAACTTTTAATCAATGCACAATTTCATCAAGTAATGACTGAATCTAAGTCTAAACATGCATTTCAACACATTATTCGGTAGTTCATCATCCTTAAGGTTCCAATTTACACACAATTTAACTTTTAACACAACCAAAACAATGAAACCCCAAGTTAAAACTTCTGATTAGACCTAACAACCTACAGATTTGGTTGAACTTTCTTACACACTCACACACAATCATTCCAAGGGTGTTTCTAGACTATATTTTAACATTCAAATAGGATATTAACAACCCAAGGTGAAGTTCAACTTCATGATTTCAAGATTTAAACAATGAACAATGAATTCAAAGTTACGGTGAAATCGTTTACCTTACAAGTAATCAAAGTTGGTGAGTGTGTTGGTGCAATGGAAATCCTTGAACCTTTGCTAGCCTTCGACACTGAACCTGGACCTTAGAATCCTTGGGGAAGAAAATGGAAGTGATTAGGGAGAGAAGAGGAGAGATATGGGATTTGGAATTTGATTGTAGATCAGTGAGGGATGATTTGGTGGGTTATTAAAGGATGAAAAATGGGTATATGGAAGGTTAAAAATGGTTGGGAGGGAATTATGGAAGTGTGGGATGTTTTAAAAATAAAAGGTTTTATAAAAGAGGGGTTTGGGCCGGGTTAGGCAAAAACCTAGTTTGGACCCACGAGACCCCATCGACGGTCCGTGGGTCGACCTATGGTCTGTCGATAGGGTCTGTGGGTCATGCTGACACTTAGAAAAAATATTAGACAGACCAGTGCACAACTATTTTCTACAGGTTGTGCCTTTTCATTCCTACACAAGTAGCAACCATTAGGACTTTCTTTTTACATTTTCTGGACATTTTTTAGACATGGACCCTTTTCTATATCTAGCCAACACTAAAACATAAAAATAAACACCTATCTAAAGAGCTACAAAAAAACAAAAAGAAAGAAGAGAACTCCTAAATCGAAAAGAAAATCCTATAGTTGGCTAGATTGTACATCTTCCATTGCCTCCCAAGCAGTGCTTGATTTAACGTCGCCACACGATGCAGACAGCTTCATTACTCAGACTTCATCAATATAATACACCTCAATCACTTCTTGCACACTCTCAGATTTCCCCAAGTAGACTTTGATCTTCTGCCCGTTTACTTTGAACCTCGTTCCTTCCTTGTTTTCGAGCTCTACCGCTCCATGTGGAAATACTTGAGTCACTCTAAATGGCTCGGTCCACTTGGACTTGAGTTTACCTGGAAACAGCCTCAACCTTGAGTTGAATAAAAGCACTAGATCACCAATAACAAATTCACGCTTTTCAATCTTTTGATCATGGTACTTTTTCATCTTCTCTTTATACAGGGTTGAACGTTCATATGCTCTTAGGCGAAACTCATCAAGCTCATTCATATCCATTAGCCTTTGACTCGATGCGGCGTCCCAATCCAAATTCAACTTCTTTAGCGCCCACATTGCTTTATAGCTCTACAGGAAAATGACATGATTTCCCATATACAATTTGGTATGGGGAAATACGTATACGAGTCTTGAATGCAGTGAGATAGGCCAATAGAGCATCATCAAACCTTCTTGACCAATCAGTTCTGTTGGCGTTCACAGTCTTTGAAAGGATTTACTTTACTTCTTTATTCGACACCTCAACTTTCCCACTAGACTGCGGATGATAAGGAGTGGCTACATTGTGACGAACTCCATATTTCTCTAGCAACCTTGAACAACTTATTACAAAAGTGAGAACATCCATCACTGATAATCACTGTCACGACCCGGGAGCACCCCCAAGTCGTAACAAGGCGTATTCGACCCCGAAGGGGTCTTATACAAGCCACATAGTCATTCATTGCATTCAATAATGATAATAGTGCGGAATTAAAAACTTATTTACATCCAAACATTCAAGCTTCATTAAAACAACTTTAAAAACACACAGCGGAAGTCTAAGTCTCACATGGCCATCTTAGACACAATCACAAAACATAAGTAGGGACACGGCCCTTTACAATCAAAAGAAGTCTATTAAGTCTATTACAAGAACCTTATCATAAAATTAGAATAGAAAAGTCTTCTCCTCGACATATGAGGACATACCACAAGATCTTGGAAGAACTTCAAGTTCCAAGCTTACTATAGAACCCGCTCACTTTCCGGAACCTACACTAGTAGAAAATAGAGAAATATGGAATTAGCACAATTAAGTACTAAGTATGATGACCATGCAAAACATGCTTTAAAAGGGACATTTTGGCTAGAAACCATGCATTATGCCACTTTTTGAAGTATCATGAACAGTTGCATAAAAGACATACAAGACAAGCATAAACATCAAGTAAGTCATAATATCACCTTTAAACAATATCAACATGAAAACCTTTACCTTGGACCTTCACCTCAAGCAACCCTTATGCTATACCTCGTGCAATGTATGGATGGCGTCCCATACCACCATCCATACTAAGGCACCACATTTAGGTCACTTAAAGTAACTTATCATTCCTTTCTTTCACCTTTGCACAATATTCATACATAAGAGGTATATTATTAATTAAGACATGACAAGGGAAAATAACTCATAATATAACCCAAGTATAGCATGCATCTCATAATAAGCATTTGAGAGCCAACATTCTTTAATAACCTTATTTAGGCCACAATTGTGTCACATACATTAGGATTTAGAGAAACTCACTATGACCCTTTCCAAGCCTACTCGTGCAATGTATAGGTAGCATCCCATACTACTACCTACACTTTGTAGAGCCTATCAAGAAACCATAATGAATTCTCACATGATGGGAAGTAAGCATTTAACCGACATAGACCATGAGAGGTTGTCATGGAATCCGGTGTCATAAGTCCCCACACCGTAAAGAGGTGGTCTACTTGCCTAAGGAAGACCGGTAAATATAGCTTAATGGATCCACTAGCTACCTATGCGGGCACATAGTTTATGGGATAAGGTAGACGATCATTGAAACTCATGCCTAACCATTGGGGGAGTTTCCATCTAACCAAATCCACTCGGTGCTTAGCCTACATTCCCATAGAATAGTTCGTTACCTTGACATTATCACATATGAGAGGTGCCATTGGCCTACCAACTCCAAATTACATTCATTAACACGTGAAAGGGTGCTTTAAGCCTACCGTTTCAGGTTCATTTAGGAAAGCTCATTAAATCCTCTTGAAAGGGTGCCATGGGCCTACCAGTTCAAGTCTCATCATTAACCTTGATGGAAAGGTGTCATAGGCCTACCGACTCCAAGGTTCATTACTATCATTAATGGAATGGTGCGATAAGCCTACCGATTCCAAGGTTCATTATTATCATGAGTGGAAGGGTGCTACTAGCCTACCGATCCGAGGATTCAACAACCAATAATATAATCATTTAAACAAGAAAATGATGCACAAGCTCTACCAATTCGAGATATGCAATAAATTGGAGAATCCTTCATATTCTATCATCAACATTCATGAGTGTCAAATTGAGAAAAATCCTTTCAATAATAACATATTTACGTTCATAACATGATCACATTAGCTCCATTAAATGTCCATTCATAAAAATGTCATGTAACACTTATATTTCTCATACTATGCCTTCAAGGCCATGGTCACAATACATTCCATAATTAAACACCTCCACCATAAGTGGATCAAACCAAGCAAGAACGATTTTTCTTATCCATAATATGAGATTAAGCCAACTTACCATCCTCCAAAGCCATAATCAACAACACTCAAGTCCCAACCATTTTTCTTACCACAAAAGAATTCTTCCATAACTTGCCCATAAGGCCACAATCCTCAATTATCCATATACCAACAATTCATCATAAATAGGTATAGAAAACCATATAAATCAACAATACAATCCAATCTAAACACAATTTCATCAACATTAAATCATAGGCATTAAACCCACTTCATTAGCAAATTCTAGGCTTTTAATGAAAACATGGGTTCTTGAAGAAGTTTCATATAAAAATCATCTTAAAATCATAAATAGAACTTCAATTCACCAATATAATGACTTTGAAAACATTTTAACCATGAACCCATACCTAGAATAGAAAATAGAAGTTTTGTTCTTTGAAGACTTTTGAAACCCTTTTGAATGGACTCCTTGAAGGAAAGATAATCAAGGATCAAGGGTCACCATACCTTTGTTAAGATTCCCCAAGAAAATTGATGAAGAAACCACCTTCAATCCAAGCCCTAGCTCCAAGTTCTTGACCTTCTTAAAATGGAGGATTGTAGAGAGAAAAGTATTTGAGAGGAGGTGAGTTCTTTTTAATTCTAATTGGAGTGACTTAAAATAGAAGAATTTGGTCTAGAAGGGTTTTATAATTTCTAGGAAAGGCATATAATAAAAGGGGCTCAACTTAGGAAAAGAAATAAGGACCCACTTAAAAGTTTCCACTAAACCCGTCTAAGCTCGTCCTTGCTGACAGTGCTTCACTATTTTGGGCATAACTTTTTACTCCGAGATCGGAAAAGGGCAAACTTGGTGGCGTTGGAAAGAGAATTCAGATACCTTTAATTGGATAGGTAATGGTCCACCTAATTCATTTTGAGCTAAAATATATGACCATTTAAAGTTGACCCTCACTCCTAACTTAAAACTAAAAACTGTTTTTAGGGGACTGTTTTGAGGGTCTCGGTTCTAAATGATTTTATGACCTAGCCTAAGGTCTTGCTAGCTTATAAAGGTGATTAATCAACTAGCTAATCAACTCCTTAAGCCCTTAAACAACACTCCAAACTTCAACGACAAGACCCTTACAACTTACTAGTTCAAACGACTATTTTCCGGACGTCACTGTCATTTCTCATCATTTCATCAAGTTCTCAACTCCAAACTCACATGTGAGGCTCTAGTTTCACTAGTTCATTTTTTTAGGTCGTTACAATCACCCTAGGTGTACAAAATCTGGAGAAGATACTTTTTTTAGGAATGCGGTGACACTCTTTCCCTCATTGTTTGAAATCGCAATTGCCTCCACCCATTTTTATACATAGTCAACCGCAACAAGAATATACTTCATTCCATGTGAACTCACAAATGAACCCATGAAGTCAAGACCCCAGACATCAAATTGTTCAATCACCAATATCGGGTTCATAGGTAGTTCTTGCTTCTTGAAAAATCCCCGTTCTCTTTCGCAACGTTCACAAGACTTGGCAAAATCATGAGCATCTTGGTGGATGGTAGGCCAGAATACCACACTGCAAGATTTTATGAGCAGTTCAAATACCACTATGGTGCCCACCAACAGGAGATGAATGACATGCCTCTAGTATACTCATCATCTCAACATCGGGCACACAACGATGAATAATCCCATCAGCACAAACACGAAAAAAGTAAGGATCATCCCAAAAGAACTTCTTCACATCATGCATAAACTTTTTCCTTTGGTGAAATGACAAATCTGATGGAACCAAATCGCTTGCCAAATAGTTAGCAAAATCTGTGAACCAAGGGATAAGATCATAAGAAGCATCCACTACCTATTCATCTGGGAATGCATCATTAATATTAGCCCCATTTCCCAACTTGAGCTTAGCTTCCTCCTTCAATCTAGACAAATGGTCGGCAAGCAGATTTTTTGTTCCCTTTCTATTCTTCACCTCAAAAACGAACTCTTGCAGCAACAACACCCATCTAATCAACCTCGGTTTTGCATCCTTTATAGTCATCAGATGCACTATGACCTTAGTACCAAGCAAGTAGGATCAAAATTTCTCGAATACAAAAACTGTTAAGTCCACAAATTGGACTAATTTAGGGTTGTATTTTGATAAAATTAGTGTCCTCAAATGCATATTTTTTCTCAATATCTGATAAAAACCCTTAAGTTTCAGGTATTTGGAGTTGGAGGGAAAGCATGGACACTACTTAGCAAAAAGGAACAAAGGCAGTTGAAAGAACGAAGAAATGAAGATTTGAGAATCGCCGAACACATTCGGCGAGTCGCCAAAAGGTCTTATCCTCGCATTTTGTTTCAATGTGCTGAGCCCTGAAAGAAAGGATCAACTCGATGGTGAAAAGGAGCAGTCGGCGTGTCGACGAGCAGTTTTGCGAAGCAGTACTATGTCGCCCATTGATCCAAAACATGACTATGATGAAGGATATAGTTGTAGCTTAACATCAGATTTTTAATATAGAATTTTAAACAGAGAATTTTGCGTTCTAAGTTTGGAGAGGGTTTTGTAGAACTTGAAGATTCAAAGGATTTCAACTCCAAGAATTTGGACTTGGGTCTTGTGGATTCTTCACTCTTTGCTTGTTTTGAGAATTAAATCTTCATACCCATTTGAATGCAAACTCATAGTGATATAATTTTCTATCTCTTTTACATGTCTAGCTAAAAGCCCAATTCTTGGGGTGTGATTTTGTGAATATGGGTTAGATTATCTGTTGGGTCTTACTTGTTGATAATTTATTT